ATCATCAAAGGAGAATGGACGGGAGTTAAGCCCAAGTTAGCCTATCAAGAGGAGGACCGTGTGTTCTTCACCGGATATCTGGGATTGAACCCACGAAATGTGGTAATATATATGAAGAAAGGTGGCAAGATGTATGTTACGATAGCACCACAAGGCGAACTTGCAAATCCCAAGCCAAGGCTTTCAATCATTGATAAAGATGGTAAGATGACATCAAGATAGAGGGAGCCCTAGTTGGCTGAAGATACTTGGTGTGGTTTGGTTTTGGAATAAAAATTTAAAATCACGGTTGTGGTATGCTTCTTGGGCAATAAACAGGTTTTCGATTAATTTGCGTCCTTTTTCATTGCTTTAAATCAGCTTTTTATAATCAGAATTTGAACCGGCATAAAACTGCAGAAATGTTCCCAAACAGATTTGGACACCTGTTTACTTACGAAATGCTTTAAAGGTACTTGATATGTTGACCCTGTGGCATTATGAAGAGGGAGCGTTAGGTTCGTATAAACTGGAAAACATTCATCCCAAGACATTTTAATTTGAGAAAGAATATGTTCTTTGGGATATAATGGTAACCTTAATCCGTGATAGTTCGAGTCTGGTTCCCCAGTTCGTCTTCTGACTTACAAGAAATGTGTGGACGACAGCTAAACTATCAAACGTGCTGAAAAAAGTTAATAGTATGAGACCTGATTAATAGGTAAGGCCTTAGTCAGTCTGTGTTGCGTGGTCTTCGTCTTTTTCACCGTTCTTCGAGGGGTGTACGGATATTATTTAACTCTATGTAGCAATCGGTGCATTGCCTTGAGACACGAAACCCCATTGCATTGAATTAAACATGTATCATCGACGTTTGCTTATCCAAAATTGGCCGAGGTTTTCTTGAAGCCATGCACTCCGAAGATTCATTCATCAACCACCACATAGAGTTAGATGGTATCTATGAACACTTCAAAAACGGTGGAAGATACAAAGGTCGCACAACACAGACTGACTGAGGCCAAACTTTCAAATGAGTTATTACATCATAAAGCTGTAGATTTTTCCGTATTGCACATTTCTTGTTGGTCAGAAGATGAACTGGGGAATCAGAACCAAAATGTGAATATATTACGGTTACCACTATATCCCATAGAACATCTTCGTCTTCGAAAGCGTTATAATATCAGAGTCAGTGAATTCATTATGTCCCCTAACGTATTCCTTGACAAAGCCTTCATTTAACTTAAACGGAAGAAAGTATTAATATATGGAAACGAATTCCATACAGGAATGTTTCCTCTTTAATAGGATACGCGGTTGGGGGCCATAATCAACGAATAAAAACTTCAATGAAAATGCGGAAACGGATCCTCTTTTCTACCCAAAACAACTTTATCACAACAACTTTACAAGTTAACTAGCCTTTTTGTATACCTTTTATCTGTCAGAAGTCGTTAGCAGGCTGATCCGTTTAACCTATTCGATTCCTAGTAGGGCAATCTTCTCATTGGCTCTGTCGATCAACATCGTTTTTATTAACGTAAAATCGTGGTTTGGCTATTGAGTGTGATGACAGGCTAAAGCCAGCATGCCCGTATAGTTGCTTTGAAGTTGGCAGTTGACGCTTTACCGTTTTATCAACACACCGAGGTATCTCAATTTGTGCAAGGTTTGCTGTAAACAGCAGGAGGGACAATCGGGTGAACAGCCCAATTTGCACACTATGAAATAGGGTCATTTGTGCGCTTACCTTAATTGCATTATGAGAGCACTTGGAAGGCTACTATAGGAAGGACTAAAAGCCTGCATGTTAAATAGAATTGTTAGAGCTGAGGACTATGAAATACCTGCGTGTCTCC